TTCATGTGCACGTTTACATGCAGACACTGACCACATTAGATCTCGGCAGCAATGAAATTGGAGTTGTTGGAGCACAGTATCTCGCAGATGGATTGCGAACTAATACGGTAACTATCGTTCCCTTTCTGATCTCTCTCATATTTTTTCATGCAGACACTGACTACATTCAATCTCTGCAGTAATGAAATCGGAGATATTGGAGCTCAGCATCTTGCAGATGCATTACGAAAGAATACGGTAACTATCATTCTTTTTCTGATGTCTCTCTCACATGTTTTCATGCAGACATTGATGACATTAAATCTCGAATACAATCAAATCGGAGATGTTGGAGCCCAGCATCTCGCAGATGCTTTACGAAATAATACGGTAACTATCATTCTCTCTCATCTCTCTCATATATTCATCTGCACGTTTTTCATTCAGAACCTTATCGCATTAAATCTATGGAATAATGAAATCAGGGATACTGGAGCACAACATCTTGCAGAAGGATTACGAAATAATAAGGTAACTACCATTCTCTTTCTAACCTCTCTCATATGTTTTCATACAGACAGTGACCACATTAAATCTCGGCGCCAATAAAATCGGAGATGTTGGAGCACAGTATCTCGCAGGCGGATTACAAAATAATGCGGTAACTATCATTCTCTTGTTCATCTATTTCGTATGTCCATCTGCACGTTTTCATGCAGACACTGACAACATTAAATCTCTGCAGTAATGAAATCGGAGATGTTGGAGCCCAGCATCTAGCAGATGCATTACGAAAGAATACGGTAACTGTCATTCTCTGTTTGATCTCTTTCATATATTCATTTGCACTTTGCCATGCAGACGCTCACCGAGTTGAATCTCGAATCGAATCAGATTGGAGATGTTGGAGGACAGCATCTAGTAGATGCAGTACAAAATAATACGGTAACTATTGTTTTCTTCCTCGTGTATATCATATATTCGTCTGCAGGTTTTCACGCAAACAGTTACCACTCACAACGACGACGATAATACAATCGGGAAGGTAGTTCGATATGAAATCCATGGTTTTGTGGAAGAGAACAAAATAGTGGTAAAATATTAAGTGTTGATATGGACGATATACTGATCACTACCGGAAGGCATTGATGAATATTTCAAATGTTTTTTTTTCGCTTGTCTTCGTGATAAAATATAAATAGAAGTGTTTTATTTCGTATGCGATTTCTATTGTAACGATATAGTTGGGATCATTTTGTCATATGTATCGGTCTTTAGGTAGTGCATTTGATACGTTAATATTTGTGATAGTTGATTGGGGATAATAGTGTACGAGGAAATTATAGCAGTAGTATATTGCTTTATTTATGAGAGAGGATAAAAGAACGTAGCATAACAAGGGGAAGAGGGGGGGAGGATGACTTAGACGAACTTTGTCTCTGTAGTCTAATAAAAACCATATAAAAACCATCTTGAGGGTGTGGGTGTGGGTGTGGGTGTGGGTGTGGTGGGTGTGGGTGTTGCATTCTTTTTCTATCAGTACCCACACCCACACCCTTTGTAATGTTCATTCAATGTTTATAAACCCCCCCCCCCCAGAATAAAAAGGCATGGCCTTCTATTATCTTCTAACGAATCGGTTCTTTTTTGGTGGCGTTCTATTGAGGATGGCTTTCTATTATAGACTTCAAGAAATTTCTTTTATAACTATATTCATTTTCGAGATAATTTTTCCTATCAATTATATTCATTTTATAGAAATTTTTTCTATTAATTTTATTCATTTAAAGTGTTACAATGTATTTTATTTGTTCATCTTCTTATTTTCTCTTATTGACGAATGAAAACATGAGAAAAGAGAGAAAGAGAAAAAGAGAGAGAAGAAAAAGAAATAAGAAAAGAAATATCTGTCTATAACATATCTATTTTTTCCACATTTCAGAAATTTTTAATTGTTTGTTAATTTGTTTGTTTAATTTTTCTAAATGTTGTTGATGAGCTTTATTAGCTTCAGCTTCGATTATAGTGAAACTGAATTTGAATCATTATTTAGTTTATCATCTTTTTCTTCATCATCAGAATGTATATTTAAATAAGTATTGAAATTAATTATATGGTTTTCATGTTCATCAATTTCAGACGTAACTTCCACTTCTGAATCATCTGAACTATCAGTTTCTTCTTCATTGATTTTATTAAATCCTTGAAGCGTTTGTAAATGTAAATTAGTACCTAACAAACTCATGTTTGTTCACCCGTCTATATCGAGTATATGTAAAAGAATATATACTGTATGTACAAAATTGACTGGACTGGCTTTCTATTATGTCCAGCGTATCAACCGTTCGTAGATGGCGTTCTATTCCGGGTGGCCTTCTATTATAGGGTGGCGTTCTATTTTGGGGGGGGGGGGTTTAATTCAATTTATCATTATTAGTATTAGAAACTACGTATATCATAGGTGTCTCAATACTATTCAAACTAGTTTTACTGTAACAGTCAATCCATTATACAAACTTAAAATAGCTTCGGAACATGTTCGAGATAGTACAGATATATATATATATATATATATATATCAACAATTTTTGTTGACACTCTACTATTGAACATATTCTCTTTTTGAAATGGAAATTTAAAAGAAACATAACGATTCAAGTTGTCATATAGTCAAACACGTTAGTTTCTATTTATAATCTTTGTTCTATGGTCGCAAATTAATCTTTGTTTCTCATAGCTAATTCTTGTTTAATACACAAGTGACAGTGCATTCGTAAGATCATGCATGGTTTATATCACTTATATAATAATGAAAACTTTATGATTAATATTAATAACGATTAGAAAAAAAAATAAGTAGATGATATCAAAGAGTATATGTTCTTTTTGTTGATTTTTTGTTGTTATTTTACGAAAATTAGCATATATAAGGTTTAAGTCATGCAAAAATATGTAATCGTACAACAGAAATACAAATAAAAGGAATTCTCTAAATTGTAATCAACGCTAAGTCATGATTAGTGTTGGGAATATGCTTGTATGTTAGTGGTTGTTCTGTTTGTTTACGAGAGAGTATGATTGAATTATTAAGAATTAAAGAAGTAAGTGACAGCTACGAAATTGTGTTCATTTAATCTTATAATAATTATGCATCGATCAATGTATTACGCATCATTCAACATGACAGAAAATCCTATTCGTTAGTTTACTTGAGATAAACAAACATAATTGTGATTTGAGGATAAAAAATAATGAAATGAGGCATAACGGAAAAGGAAAAAATATGTGAAAATACTTTTATCTTTTATATTATCATTTCAACATGATTAAAGAACAGAAAAATGTTTCTAAATTGTCATGAGTAGATTTCCAATCTTTCTCATTTGAATTTACATTTATTGACACATGTAACTGATTTTGCTTATTATTTCTCATCATTACTTTCATAGTTATGCTACAGATAAAGTGGATGTATCTACGTTTATGGGAGAAGCTTCCCAAGTGTGAATCTCAGCTTTTAACGGAATATATTCAGATGTGTCGAGTTTTCACTACATTACATAGGGGCTAACAGATTTATCAGAAATTTGATATTATCAATATATTTGACCCGTTAGTAAACATATTTATGTATAGTAACGCGAATCTATGATAATTCAATTCGTTTTATTGATATAAACATAGAAAAATGTTAATGTCGTTATTTAATTCATTCTAATACTTCTATTATTAAATTGAAACCCAATACAATAATCAGCACTTTATGTAAAAATAAAAGGACGTTAAACGATACTTTTTTAAATGAGTTTGGTCTTAATCGCTATCTACTTACTATTCATAGTTAGATATTTCACTGAATTTAATGAATGAGATGCTTTCACACGTCTTATCAATTGAGTTTCTTTCTCATCAATAAAACTTATTATTTTTGGTTAAGTATTTCGGTGTTTTTACCGACTCAGATGGTTTAACACGTCGTACCGAATGAGTTTGTTTTTCATCAGCAAGACTTGTTATTTATAGTCAGATATTTCACAGAGTTTAACGAATAAGATACCTTAACACGTCTTATCGAATGAGTTTCTATCTCATCAGTAAAACTTATTTTTTATAGTTAGGCATTTCCGCCATTTTGACAAGTGACATCCTTTAATACGTCTTATCGAACGAGTTTCTTTCTCATTAGTAAAATTTATTATTTTTGGTTAGGTAAGTGATTCATTGCAAGATGACGAACAACACAACAGAAAACATCAGCGAATCGAGTGCCTCGGTAATTGCAGTTGCATATTATGCCTTCAGTTTAATAATTTTGGGAACAGTGCTCAATCTTCTAACATATGTTGTCCTCTGTCGACCAAAATTTAAAGACACAGACGAACAACCGACACTGTACTATATTCGTACAGTTGCTATTTTTGATGTTCTCATGTTATATGGATGGAATTTTGATCATTATACATTGACTATACATGGGTTCCAGCTTCCAACATACGCGATTGCTTCATGCAAATATGCTCAGTTTCTTAACTATTTTACTGCTCAAATATCGGCTTGGTTGCGCGTATTTATCTGTCTCGATCGATATTTGTCATTGAGTCGTCTTCACCGAACATGGTTTGGCCGTCCTAAAAGTGTTCTCATTATTATTACATGTATTATCAGTTTCTTCACTTTATTTAACTTGCATCTTATTATATTTGGCTGCTTTTATGATGCAACTGGATCGCTCAATGCTAATTCTCGCTTGTATACCATCTATCCTATGTGGGATTTTGTTAATTTAGCCATGTACAATTGTTTACCGTTCCTGCTCATGGTACTGTTCAATAGTGGTGTTATCTATCATTTGATGCGTCTGCGTCGTACGAGTACGATTCAAAATTCACGTATTCGACATCGAGCCATAACAATAACACTTGTTGTCACAACATTTCTTTTTTTGATCATGACCATACCGGCTACTGTTGCCTTTGGGTTTTTCGGAAATACAGCAGGCGATATTGTTCTGTATACTTTGGATTCAATACTCTACACGTACCACATATTGTCATTTCCACTTTATATGATTACATTTACCGAATTTCGACGGGAATTCATCAAAATGATAACATGCAACTACTATGGTCGAAGAATAGCACCGCAGCCTGCTACTACAACACACCAATTAACACGAACATAAACGAGCACCTTTTTCTAAAGTGTATTACCAAGAACACACTTCACAGTCAAAAAAAAGCTTCATTATTTACCATGTTCCTTCCCTGATCTCGATCATTCGACAAACACTATTGTTTTTGTTTGCATTACCTATCGTCTCCTCTTTTATCGCTTATTATTTCTTAGTTATTCTATCCTATTATGTTCTTATGAATATTGTGTTTTCTGTTGTATGTAACAGTGTTCGTATTACTGTCTTTATCTTAATAATAAAATAATTAACATCGATTTAGTCATTGTGTTCATATAGACTCTGCCAGAATCGATCAACTGCTTTTTCTCTTAGAATATTTCAATTGCTAGTAGTCTCACATCCGTCTTCTATTATCCAAGCGGATATACTTACTCAATTAGATTAAAATGAACGTCATATATATATTTAGCGTTTCAGTGTATTAACACTGATACTATTATGAGTTAATTTCAATCGTTGAGACTATAAGATTAATTCATCAAAATTAATATAAATACTATATCTGCCAAAAACAAACTAGCATCAATAAAACGATGACGACTAAAGATACAGTTACCCTAAACATCATAATATACGAAATAATCCAGTAGTATATGGAACTAACTTTGTAAGATAAATTTAGCAAAGAGAAGGGATGGGTGTGGGTGTAAATGAATTCACTACACTCACATCCTCAAGATGGTTTCTTTCAGTATAGGGTCAGTAAATCCAAAGGACGAGTGTTACTAGTTTTTCTTTGAGCAAGATTTCTGATGAATTATTTTAAAATAAATTTGTATTTTTTGAAAAATCTCCGTATCTGACCTCAGGAATGACTAAGTAAAAAATGAGAATTTTTTCAATAACTCAGTCATTTCTTTATGAATTCTTCTTATCTTCAAACTCGGTCGAGATGTTAACAAGATAGAATTATGCACAAAATTTCAGCTCGATCCAAGTCTTCTTTCAAAATTTATCGTGTAAACGGACAGATACACGGACCAATTCTATAATGTACTCAGTTTGTGAGTACACAAAAAGAAATCATCATTACACTACTTTTTTTTCATTTTCTTCATTGTCATACAAAGAAAGAAAAAAAGATAAGAAATCTCAAGTATAAAAAAGAAGCAACATACAATTGCAACATCATATTTTATTTTGTAATTTCACAAAATATTCGTGCATAAAGATGAAAATCTATTTTCTTTTCGCTATGATAATATCAAATTGTTTCGCTAAACAAGATCCACCACGAATTCTTCATGGTATATTTTCTGATTCTAATACAACACAAGTTTACTATGGATCACTCAATTTTGATACAGAAAATTTTGATATTTTCAATTCATTAAATATTAACGATATTGGCAATCCTCAACGTATAAAATATGCTGTTTTACCATTAACATATGATCCAAATGATGATGTTATTTATATGGCAGCACCAAATAATGATAATAGACCTATCTTAAGTGTTATTAATGCAACAACTGGAATTTTAATATCAGCATTTAAATCAATATCGAATACAATTATTTCTCTTCAATTTGATATATTTCAAAAACAATTATTTGCACATATTGAAACTGAGAAGGACAATGTAACATTATTGGCGGAAATTGATATAAATAATGGAAATATTAAACAAGTTTTAGCAACAATTCGAGATAGTAAACCAACTCATATATCAAGTTATTGTCCAATTTGTAGAAAATATTTTCTTATCATGATTGAAGATCAATCTTTTGTATATACTGGTGTTAATACAAGTAATCAAGGTGGTGTAGATTGGAAAGCAAAACTTAATTATTCACCTATTAGTATGAAATTTGATTATAAAACATTTACAATGTATACAACATATGTAAATACATCTATTCGATATGTTTCTTCAGTTGGAATTTTAGATCGAACATCAGGCGGAATTAGTAAAAATGTTGGAATAATTTCTGAAAGTCCAGATGTTGGAATTACTTCACTTTCAGCATTTGATATTACGGAAAAGATATATTATGCATCAATTACATTAGATTCCGTTTTTCCTCGAGGTATTTCTTATGTTAATGTAGAGAACTCACGATCGGGCTTAAGTTTTTTTCCGAAAACACAATATAATTCACATGTTTGGTTTGTAAAACAATTCGTTCATTGATGTGAAAAATTATTTAATTTTTTTTTAAAAATAAAATAAATACATTGATTGATAATTTTATTCAAATTTGATTATTTTTAAAACATCTTGAGGGTGTGGGTGTGAGTATGTTTCTTTTTTACTACACACCCACACCCACACCCAAGCTCATTCTGTATTTCTAAATATTTATTTTTCATTCATTACATGATTTTATTTACATAATTTAGAATTTCCAGAAAGCGTTTTTCAGCATAGAAAAGAGTTAGTACTAATTACATTAAAGAAAATACAACTGAAATGTATTAGATACAAGCTAACATGCAGAGTATATATAAATCACCAAACGGGAAAAAAATCTTGAGGTTGCCGGTGTGGGGTAGTTAAAAAAGAAACGCTCACGCTCCTGAGTGCTTATATGAGCGTGAGGGGTAAATCATCAAGCCGGTTATTGTCGACTTTAACAAGAGAACAACAATATGGAAGCTTCTTTTTCACTGTTCTGCTTTTCTTTTAAGCACAAGCGACAATATTTAACTTGAAACTATGTGGAAAAAATGAGGAAAAAACTTCAAGGTGTATTTTTACACGTAGAAAAAGTAGACATCGAATGGAATGCAGAATGAGGATAAATATATAGTTTATAGACTGCAATTATAAATATCGGAAAATGAGGAGAAATTGTCTGACTAATGATATTTTAAAAATTAAAGTACGTTTTCATTTGATAAAATATCATCCATATGAGTAGTTTTTTTTTGTTTGGATATACATATTAATTAGAGTACATTTGAGAATACTGTCCATATTCGCTATTCATAACAGTGCGTGAACCGTACACGTGATGAAGGAAGACGCGAAGCGGCAATAACTATTTAACGGTGGTCTGCATATCGTCTTAACAACTAAGCCAAATATATCGAAAGTTTAACTCCAACAATTTCAGACGTCAATAATTATGATTTTAAATAGTCTATTATTTCTAATATCAATGATATGATACGTACCTTCTGTGATATACGATCATTTTTTTTATTTTGCCAACGCTTTATCCAGTTCATAAAAGTTTTTTTACTTCAGTTAATGTCGTCAAAATATTCCGATCACAGGAAGCGATCCAAATATGTCAGTCAAAGAAATATGACTCATTTCATATAGTAGAAACAAGCTGATCATACTACAGTTCTTACTTTGCCATCATTCAACCTACTTTCTGCCCTCCTTCCATCAACAGATAGTCTTTGAACATCTACCTGAATTTGGTAGAATCATAAGAAGAAGCGAACATATACGCGAAAAAAAAGTGGTTCATCTAATATAGAAAAATGAATCACCTAATTTTTAGCCTTTAATTTCTTATAAGTTGAAATAATCTACATGAACATCCCACCTATCGTAATACAATGAATCAAGCAAATTGTGCTTCAAATTGTACTCTTTTCTATCCAGCTTTTAATTAAAATGTCAAAATGTGTATGACGCTGAGAGTCTAAATCAATTTTAAAAATGAGTCGTATTTCGTATGATACCTCGTTGGTATCTCTGTTCTATATCCTCGAGAATCTGACAAAGATTCTGCAAGGATTCCTTGTGTTTTTGGTTACAGAAAGTGAGCAAAACATGCAGGCATTTTCTGCGAACACAATTTACTCTTATTTGCACATTCTACCTCCTGGAAAAATTGTTTTTTTGTTTGTGTTGTTATATTTTTATCCCGGAAAAGAACTTATCC